TGTATGTCCAATCATTGTTGCATGCACAATGTGCGGGCGTGAGGGCTTCGATGTACATGCAAATATTCACAACTTGTACAACTACAACTGAACAACTACTCGTAGTTGAACGGAATCAGCTCGTCGCACAAGATCCTGAACCGGTAGTTGATTGGAATCAACTAGTTGCACACGATTCTGATACTTCAGTTGACAACTAGTTGCACAAGATTCCTGAGACTTTCGTTGATTGGAATCAACGAAGTAGTTGCACAAGATTCTGAGACACTCCCCCGCGGGCGTGGTGCTCTTCCTTCTTCGAAACGTTGTGGGAAGGAAGCCAACGATCATTTCGAGTGTCAAAACTGCTTGCTTCGGACGCTCAAGATGGTAGCCTTCGAAAACCTTGGCACAAGAGCGATGGCTAGCAGTGTCAACGTGCGCAAAAGTGAAACAATTGTACGTGAAGCAGCATCCGCAGCAGCCGCAGTCGCATCCGCAGCATCCGCAGCAGCTGTTCCTCGCTTCTTCCTCGCGCTTTCCCCGCAATCGACGGAACCACCGTGGTTGTGTCCGACGCAGGTTGTGTCCCACGCATTGTCCCGGGGGAAACTACTGTGTGCGTGCTCGAGAGTGTCCTCTCTACAAGCGATAGCTAGCACAGGGTGCCGGAGCTGGTGTCGCCTTGTCCTTACCGCTGTGTCGCGATTCTTGCATGGGGCTCATGGACGCGGGGTGGGAGGTCGCCGGGCAGCTTGCGAAATAATTGTAGTCTCGCCCAAAAAAGAATCAACCATGGCATACCACCGGCTGACCCCCTCTTTATCTCTTTATGGCTCGTGATTCGTAACAGTCCTGTCGTGGGGTGAAGCTCCTCTCGCTAAGAGCTTTTGTGCGCGGAGAATGGGCAGCCCCTCTCCTCGGCGCCCATCGTCTCACCACTCACCTCCAGGATGGCGAAGCTCTCCAACGCGTTCGACGTGCTCACGCTCAGCTGCCTCTGGTACTTGGGGCCCAGGCCCCTCAGCATCGCGTCCACCTCTCTTCGCTCCGCTTCCGGCATCCCTGGCCGCGGGGTCGGACGAAGGGGACTGCCGCCGACACAGGGGAAAGACGGAAGAGTCTCGAACCCGCCACACACCCCTCTGAATTGGAGGCGCAGGACGGAACCGAAGGCGGGTGTGTCGCGGTGTAAAATGTGCCACTCTTTGAGTTGACAGTTGACGGCGGACGGCATGATCGTCAGGTTCCAAAAACGGTTCGGAACAATAGATGGGTTCGGACCTCGGACCCCGCAGACCCGCCTGCCGCCTGTCCAAGTCCATTATCCACAGCCTCCCTGGGAAGCGACGACGAGGACGGTACAGGTGCGTGCCTTGTGCGCACCTTGTCCTTTGTTTAAGTACTAGCTGAAGATCTCTTGTGGTGCTCCCGCTGACAAGCAGTGACCTTGGCCCATTTTGTGTGACCAAAATATTTTTCTCGGAAAAATACCATACGTAGGTGACACACAAGATCCACGCCCCCCAGGAATGACTTCAAAGCACGAAAACTCCTCTACGGAAAGAGGATGCAACAATCTAATGATCTGTTTCAAAACTGTCGGTGAGACGGTTCTAACACCGCCACCTCCCGCACCCCCACCGTTTCTGTTGTGGAGTATTTGAGCTTTGAAATCGCTCAACAGCAGTTCGTCACATCGTCGTATGGACATCCATGTCCTGTTCACCGAGCGAATACTACTATTTAGCAGTACTTCGGGTAGTTTGCTTGCGACCACGGAAGGCATCCACGTCAGTTGGATCAGTACGGACGTTAGGAGGTACTGAGCGGAGATCGGAACGGTTTTTAAATGTAAAGACAACAAAACAACGACAACAACAGCGACTTCGAAGCAGCTTGCTTTGTCTCTCTCTGAACGCTGACCGGTGATCGATCAACAAACGCGCGCGCGAAATACATGCACCGTTCTGCCCCCAAAATACATGTCGCCGCCACCGCCGTCGCCCATGCGGCGCCGTTCCCAACCGTTCGCTTCTTTTTCGTCCCATCTATCATGGGGCTGTAGTTGACCAAGCTGACCTAAAACACGTGACGCAGCCTTTGTGTCAGCCTGTGTTTGCTTCTGGAGCAGTCCAGAGACCACGAGCACGTAAGCGACACCACCCGTCCACTGATACGCGCCCGGTTCACCTTCACTAAAAAACGTTAACGCGGACCCCCCTCAGGCTCATAAAAACACAACATATTTTCGTCAACCTAAAAGGTGGAGGAAGTGCCTCTGCCAACTGCGTGAAGCGTCTAGCGAAGAGGTCTACAAACTCAGATTGGATAGGACAGCGTCTCTTTACATGTTGCTTTGTTCTTATCCAGAGCTGGCTAACCTTCCAGCACATACGAATGAGAAAACTCCAAAATCAAGGGAAATATACTGGTACCATGGCCCTCAGAAAAAAGGAAACATTGAGGCCATACAGAGCCGAGCTAGGTTTTTGCTCATGTACATAGTATGTTGACTTTTTCCATCCATTTGCGAAGGCAATAACAACCAACCAACGACGACGACGACGACAGCACTAGAAATGACCCGATGGGGTACCGCGGGGCAAGATAAAGCATATGTACATGGGCGGGCAAAAGGTACAATACACGAGCTAACGGTGGCACCTTTATTCCCGGCCACTATAGGCAACATGCGAAGATCAAGTTCGGTAAAGTGCTTCGCGTGGCTTCACACCCAAGGGGAAGTAGGGCCGTGTAGCCGGTCCCCCCAAAACGCCATACAATTCACTCGACAACATCAGCAATACCGCGGTGCCGCACGAAACACAAATGACAAAGCAACACTCGCCAACCAAAGACGGGGGAAAGAAACATTAAAACACACGTCATTGTCTTCCGCTACCGAGGGTACCACCACATGACGGCAACCCCGGCCAACACAACGCACGCTCCGGCGTAGTCACCGGCGTCTGCCCTGAAACCGTCAAATACAGCGCCCCACCCAAGAGACATGGCGATAAAAATGCCGCCGTACACCGCGAACGCCCGCCCGAACTCGGCCGACGACACGTCCGGGAGCAAGCCCGGCGTGACGAATCCATAGGCCGCGAGGAAGAGCACCCCGGGGATTATCCACCACCTGCTTTGCCACGGGAAGTTACCGGTCCGGGCCGGAGGTCGGGGAGGGTGTCGATCTCAGGCGCGGTGGCGTTTGGTCGTTGGTCTGTCTGCTAGGTCGACTGCGATAAGAAGAAGACAGTCTGGCCATTGTCCTGTACCACTTCTCCCGAGCTAAGAAAGCCACCAGAAACAAAAGATAAGCCGAGGCCACGACGCAAGCTCCAAAGCAACACGTCAGTGCAAAACTAGTCGTACGCTCGCGGCTGTAGAGAAGTTGTAGCTGGGCTGTACCGAGAAGAAGTCCCGCTGAAAAGAACGTCCATCAACAAGTTTTGTTTTTTGTTTCTTGTTCCTCTGCTTGGCTTTGAACGACGTGATCTTGGGCATGTCAGTCACTCTTCTCCGTGTGTCGTCAGATGCCATAAGCGAAACATTAACAGGGGAAACTCGATCGCTGTCCCACCTTGGTCGTTTCTCGCGTACCGCCTGCCAGACCAGCCACCCACCGCCTATCTCGCAGAGCCCGGCTAACACAAACACGGCGATCGACCATACCTGGTGGGGTACATACACGACAGCAGTTGTTCGTTGGGCGTGGGCGTGTGTGGATGGGGAGGAGGGAGGAGGATCAGCTTCGTCCGAAGAGTTTCACAAATGGTCGTTCGTTTCCTCGAGAGGACTAAATACCGGAACGTATAATGCTGACGTCCACAAATCGGATGCCAACACCCGCGCGCTCTCACACACACACATCCCCCTCAGTCTGTAACTTGTCTTGTCCATCGCCTCGTGTTGGCCATCGCGCGTCCCTCCTATCGGAAGGGAGTTATGGTCTCCTCACTCCTATTGATTGCATCGCCCATGCTCACGCCGACTATCCCTCTCTCTCTCTCTCTCTGTAGTTTTCGTCGGTTTCTCCTGCGAATCAATTGTTTCCTTGCCACATGGGTAACTCCGTGCACCCCCTCCTCTGTCGACTAGTGCAACTGCGTCGTTTCTCGGCAAGTCTTGCGCCCTAAGCTCTTTTCGAGAGCTCCGGTGCAGGGGGGGACGGTCTGCGTAACCAAACCTTACGCACATGTTCTATGTTTGCACACGCCATGCCCCCGGCCTTCTCTGTCCAGTATTTGTTTTTGCTTAAGCCTGCAACGTTTTATGACTTGCCATCGGTCGATATTATGACCGAATCGTAACATGTTGCTGCCACACGGGCCTGAGTCCCATGTCAGGGAGGCGGGACAATGAAGGATGCACTAAAGCCCCCTAGATCGCGCAGGAGCTTCGTTGGTCATCCGGAACCAAACGCCAAAGAACGCACAGCAGTCTACCGTGGAAGTGCACCGTTCTTGAAGATTTTTCGTTGATTTGAAGAAAAGAACGATGCCAGGCGAACTGCACCTCCCGCCACCGGTGCCAACTCGAAACTTATAGGGGGCTCTCTCTTTTTTCTGCCCCTGCCGTGCCCTGCAGGCGAAGAGGAGAACTTCAAACCGGTGTACCTGGTCGTCTTGTACACCTGGTACTAGTCAGACATTCATGTGCGGGTTCTCCTATGGACAAACACACACGAACTCGAGTGCAAGGTAGTAAGCAACCTTCGTAGACGTGTGCAGTTTTCTTCTGTTGATACCGTTTCTGTCTTTGATCCGGAGAACAGATTAGTCTCCCCCATGCCGCCCCCTCACGGGGTCCCAGTTAATGGCATTTAGAAGTGTTTTGTGTTTTCAACCGCACTGAGACTGACGTCTTTTCATTGGCCAGCCGGTTAGCGCGGTGATGCTAATAAAAAAGCACGACGTGTGTTGTGCATGCAAATGTATACCAGCATTCCGTCTAATGTACTGAGTCCTGCCCATGAATGGTGTTTCTGAAATCATGTGCACGGGCGCAACTTCGCGTCGAGCGCACCAGCTCATGACACAGCACTTCGATTCGACGCCGAAGAAGAAGATGTGAAGGAAACATGAAAACATGCACAAAAAGACTACCCATACGATACGGTACCTTTCACAAAAACCGTAACAACTGCTGTGGTCTTTTGTCGCAACAGCAAAGTGCAGTGGTTTCTGCCCTCTATTACCGTATATGACACAAGATAACACACCCCCTGGGCCGATTTTCAAAGCTCGATTTCTCAACAGCAGGAAGAGTCACAGCGCCGAAAACGGCGGCGTTGGAACCGTCTCGTCGAGAGGTTTTCGAAAATGTATTGTTTCGTTTATGCATCCTCTTCGTCGTGGAGTAATCGAGCTTTGAAAATCGGTCCAGGGGGTGTGTTATCTTGTGTCATATACGGTAGCCGCATTGCACACAAAAGAACAAAATATTCCAATCTCAACCGCTACTGCTGTAGCAAATAATAATAATTACACATGCAACAACATCAGCTCTCTTGTCTGGAGGTATTCCTCACGGTGTCGTTGTGGAGCACTCACCACCGTCCGGATGATCATTCGTATCACAGCAGTCTTCGACCAGCAGACAGAGCAGGTCGCGTATATACTGCCTGTAGGCGCACACCAACAACCGGCGGCTATAAGCGCCTGCAACCGGTGTGAGGAAGGAGAGCAAGAACACCACGAATCAAGGGAAAACAGCATACGCAGATGGATGTCTGTGCCTGTGTATCTAGTGTGCCGCTGTGGTGTGTGCGGTGACCGCGTGCATGTCACATGATCATATGATCATGTGATGTGTGTGCATGATGTGGCAAGCCTCCCCCCCTGTGGACCCCCAGACTTTCTGTGTGCCCCCCACCGCCGCCGGTCGTGCATACGCCAAAGCTGGCGAGATAAAAAGGTTCTCCAGCTGGAAAACGCCTCCCAGAACCACACCCTACAACGCCTCATTTGAATTGAACGGGTCACACCGCCGCAGCAACAACGGCTGGCGGCCAACGCGATAGTAGCGGCGTTCCCTTCAGCAGCTCACACCAGCCTCATACCAGTCTACGACAGCAGATGGAGGTTGATTCCGCTGCGGCTGAGGCAAGCTCTTGGCAGCTGGAGGAGGTGCTGGCTTGTAGCGAGGACGAGACGCTCGATGTTGGTGGGGAGGAGGAAGCTGCTGGGCTTCCTTTCGACGCCGCCGAAGGCGAAGATAGCGATGACGAGCCCTCGCCTGCAGGTGGTGCAGGCCTCTGGGACCCATCTCTAGGTATGGCAGGCTATAAACGTATGGGTATGGCAGGTTGGTTCGCCGTGTTGTTGGTACGTTGTTTTGTTGGTACGTTACTCATCCGCGTGCTCCGATGTTTTCACCCGCGCGCACCTGGGTTTGACTCGCTTGCACAGGGGAGATCGCGACCCTTGAAGAAGAGATAAAGAAACTAGAGTTCCCCAACCTCGAAGACGGGACCGGCAACTTTGGGGAGAAAACCATGGACAACGCAGTCGCGATGTTGATGGCGAAGACCGGACGCGGCTTCAGCCTGAAGAGAGAGAATAAAACAAAGGTGACGCTGCGTTTTTCCATGTGTTGTTGGTGTGTGCGAAAGATGCCTGTGGGCTCGGCTTTTTCGTCTCGTCCACCGTAATCGCCTTATGATTAGCGACATGCGCAGCCTCTCATGTTGGACATCCGACGGCTGCTGACATCTGAATGTGTTGCCGCCGCCCCCCTCCAGCTTTTCACGAAAAAGCAGGAAAAGAACTCCCGCATGCGAAACAGATGGAGCTCCGTATGGATCAAGTGCTGCCAGGGGGGGAAGCCGAGAGCGTGTCAACGTGTCGCGGATCCGAGCGCTCGCCGCAACACAAAGTCACAGAAGGTTTGTCTGCCTGAAGTACGAACCGATGTGGATCTCCCGATGTTGAGCTCTCGCCACCGTTGTGTCTCGGCTCCTCTTTTTAGCGCGTCGGGTGACGAGTCATCTGACAAGTCAACGGAGGAGTCGCGATGGGAAATGGACATTGGGCGCGCTTTGTTGTTGAACTTCATTTCTTTTTGGCGCCGATTGAAACATGATCGCTGCATACATGGACTTTTCGGGACATCGTCCGCGGTTGAACGTTCTGAGCTGCTGCGCTGTAGTCCCCCTCTCTCTGCAATATGAAGCGCTCGAAAACGCGAGCGTCGACGCAAGGAGTAGTTGTGTGCCGGGTCAGGACCTTTTGTTGGTCGCACGGCGGCCGCACCTCTTCGCTGTGGTCTCCGTTGTGCGGGCGATGCTCCAACGCGTTCTTCCGGCAAATTTGTTGGCTTTTCTGTTGTTGCTTGCTTGCTGGTTGCGCACCCTCTGCGCTGTAGTTGTCGAGGAAAGCACCGCAACAAGGGACGTAGGTGAGTCCACCTCCCGTGTGTATGTGTGTGTGTGTGCGGTTTGTCTTCGTGCGTATGAAACGCATGGAACGCAAATGGCGTAACGCTAAATGGCCATCGCTCTTCGCGCGGACACACATATTTCTTCTGTACCCTCACAACACTGTCGTGTTGTTTATACCCTGTCCGAATCCCAGGTGGGTTGCGAGTTCCACTTGGGGCTGTGGTGGGGGGCCGACATGAATACACCGCAAGTTGCAAAGGTGAGTTAAGTTGAGGGGAAGTACGTCGGTACAATGGATAGATCGCGTTGGATGCGTTAATGTAGGCAGCCCAAATGCTAGACATTCTTAACAAATGATGTTCACGCGGGTTCGAATCCCAGCTCTGACGCTTTGGACTCAGGAGGCACCCTTGATATATTTTGCCAGCACCGCATGGCGAGGGGTCCGTCCCCGGACATCACTGCCGACTGCACCTTACCAAATCAACTGCGCGTAGCCTGAGGTATGACAGGAGCGCACCCGCTTGTTTGAACATGGAGACCTTGCGATCATGTGCGTACTGTTGACACTGCTTCGCTTGCCTCCCGATACCGGATGCGCAGGGAAAGGTTTGCCTCGCGCATCTTACCCCCGATCCAGATTCAGCCGGAATGGAGCACGAGCGCCCACGACGCTACGAAAACGACGTGAGCGAGGAGGACATCGAGAAGGAATCCGAACTCATCCGTCTGCTACACTTCAAAAATTTGCCAACGATAGAGATCCACAAGGCTTTCGAGGACATCGGAAAGAGGCTGGGGAGAGCCGGAAAGCAAAAGGTGAGTGGGCGAGAGTGTAGTTT